TATTTCTATCACATTTCTATCTCTCTCTTCATGTATGACCCTACGTCTGTTGCTAATGAAATCTCCATTACTTGTCCACTTAATTTCCCATACCTCAAAACTGAAAAGAATAATCACACAAAGGTTATTAATGAATAATAATACTTAAGACACGAACAACACATATAAGATTTCTTAAAATAAACTCTTTGTCATTTCTCGTCTTTTGTAATTTCCTTAACATTTTCAGCAAAACCTCTTCAATATATGGTGACTTACAATGTTACCGAAATGGTAGTCATCAGCAGCCATCTTAAATTACTCTTGTGCACTTAATGCAGGTTTTAGACGATTTTTAATTAATTTTGGAATGTCATTTTTTCTACTTAACTAATTACAGTTTAAATGCTTTAATTAATAACTTTTAAAATAAGAATAATAATTAGAGAAAAAAGATTTGGCAAAAATATGTTAATGTTACTTCCACTTCTTCAAATTGTTTGCACTCTGTTTTGTCTTGTTAAGTGACTCTACAGTAACACAATCTTCGGGTAGACGCTGGCAAGACAAGATGTATCCCAGATCTCATGTGTAGAGACAGCATCGTGTAACATGGCGTGCCAGACTTGTGATTAAAGACAGCGTTTGTAAGATGCACAAACTTTCCCTTCCAAGGCTGCAGTGAAGGCCTGCAACACATTTCAATACTTTATTAGCATGTTCTTTTTCTAGGAAATAAATTTATATTCTTCCGATTTCTCCCTAGGCATCTTTACTTATTTATTGTTTTATTATTATAAATGTTTAGGTACCATCTGTACTCATGACAGATACTACCAAAGCATTGCACATATATCTGGTAAACCCAACAGACATTTGCTATAAAATCTTTAACACAAGAAAAAGGCCGTGAAGTTACATTGGCAGTTTTCTCCTGCATCAAAGGAAACGTTGTGCAGACTTAAAGAGATTCAAAATTTTTGTGATGATAAATATTTGAAGACAGTGTAGCCCAGTCTGTATAGTGAACAGTTTTTTAGATAGATGCTGTCAAGAAAAGATGCATTCCAATGTGTGGAAAAAGTGTGATCTACACCAAACCTCATCGGCTTCAATCGCTGAAAGTCATTTTTAAACATTGATCTTAGAAAGCGGTTATATACAACTGCCAGTTTAGATATTTCTAAACGGATTTGGCGTCATGCATAGCATCCATATAAAGTCTCGATTCGACTAGGCTATTTAATAACATGCCTCAAGTTTTCAGATTAATGTTTTGGTTTTGTAGCAATTGGCGGTGTCAACTTTTGACTTTTTGACTTGTATCGGTTTTCACCCTGGTCGGGTTGAACCGGCTTCCTCCCGAGTAAGCACAGCATCACCGACCATCGCTGCCCACGCTCGTCGATCCCGAGCCAGGTCACACGAAATGGCGTGCCAATCGCGATTCCATCGTCGAAGACCAACTACTTGTGGACCCGATAGTAATGCTAGGTCATCCTTGATTGTGCTAGCCCACGTCCTCAGCTGCCCGCCGACACGTTTTCGCCAGCCAGGAAGAGAAGGAGGGGGAAGTACATCGCGGATGAGCTCTCCCTCCGGGCGTCGAGCTGCGTGCCCGAACCATCGGAGACGACGCTGGAGCTGGAGGCATCGTAGAATGCAGCAAAGGCAATCGTTGTCGAGCACTTCAAGCCTTCGTAGGTCAACCGCTCTAAGTAGCCACGTTTCGCAGCCATAGAGAAGGATAGTCCGAACAATAGCCTGATAGATGCGCCCCTTCGTAGCCGTGGAAATTACCCGTCGCCCCCATAGTGAACGCTTGAGACGCACGAATGCGGACTTTGCAGATCCTATACGGCGTTCAACCTCAGCAGCAGCCTGCCCGGGTGGTATAAGGGTTGAACCGAGATAGACAAAAGACTGCACGTCCTCCAGATTGACCCCGTCCAGCGTCAGTGGCTGCCAGTTGACTGGATCAACCAGGGACGGCATAACTTTGGTCTTCGAGGCATTGATGATCATACCCACATCCCGTGCTGCAGCTTGCACACGGTTGAGCGCAGCTTGCACATCGTCACAGTTCGATCCGCGTAGGCCAGATCAGATCAGTTGGGTGAAACTACCTTTAACTCAGTTCATTCTATATTCAAACTTCTTTTTCTTCTTCACTGAATTTCTTATAAACTGATCCATACACCGATATATTTGAATCATATCCACTTTGGTGCAGTGAGGGAGGTACTACTACAGCGCTGGAATCCCCGGGATCAAGCATACCTCATTCATTTGTTGTGTTTTCTCCGAAGACAGAAACAGATCTGAAAAATACCATGTAGTTTATCTGCCCAAAGGCAGATTGTATTTACATGCCACCCCATACTGGCAGGATGTGATACAAAGTCAGTTTAATGTTGGGAGCCCAAGCGCGTGTACTTAGGGGAGTTTAAAAAGTAGCCCAACCCCCAAAACCCTCGGTTGTGTTAGCATCAGTATTACTACCGACCCTTTAGTGCAATGAGGAAGGTTCTTGCACGGACAGCGGTTCCATGGGACCTGGCACCTCTCAGTATTTTAGGTTGTACTCTTGCCTGAAGACAGAAACACAATTGAGAGATAAAATGTAGATTGTACGCCCAAGGGCAGATACTACACTTTGATCCAAACCTTAAAAACATAACGGTCATACATACAAGCAGAATAAAAATATAGATGATTTATTTCGAGGAATATATATTGATTCTTGTATCTCGCCATATACCAGGGGTGGACAAACTTGCTTAATGTAAGAATCACATACAATCAAGACTGAAAGACAAAGACAAAATTTACACATACGTTTTTGTTACATTGTTTTAGCATACCTACGGACGATAATGGATATGGCTCCATTCCCATAAATACAGTAGTGAATACTGTATGTGTTGGTCTGCGGTTAGAGATTTATTGTGGAATTCACTTGACTACTTCTACACGCCGCTGGCGAATCTTATATGTGTTGTTCGTGTTCTAAGTATTATCGTTCATTAACAACCTTCGTGATTATTCTATTCAGTAACCTTCCCTAGGTTGCAACATTTTGGCGACGAGGATTAGCCAAAATTATAACATTTTGCCGTCAATTATTAGTCAAAATACAACATTTTGATAAGGATTGACCAAAATTACAACATTTTAGTGACGAGGATTTACCTAAATCAGAAAACGTTACTAGTGCGACATTCTGGTGTCAAGAATTTGGCGGCAAATCAAGGAAACGTTCTCCAGCACAACTTTGGAGAAGAAAGATATTGCCAAAATCGAACGTTGAAATTCACCAAAGTTTCATTGGGGAAAAAGTCAAAATGGAAGACTTTAAATCGATACTACTTGAAATAATCAAATGTTAAGACGAACAGCAAAAACGCTACGAATGAAAATTCTAAAAATTCGTGGAAATGTTGGTAGAACAACAGAAAATGTTCAAGAATAAACATCAGACTGCAACTCGACATTGGTTCTGATTCGATTATAATAAATGTTTATACATAGAGAAAATTGGGTAAACCAACGTTAATGGTTACCAAAAAAAATCGCTCTAAGTGTTACAGGACAGAAAATTATAATTATCAAAGGTGGAATATAGCGATTGGGCTTCGCCAACCGTTTATATAAAGAAAAAGTCGAAGGAGATACGTGTCTGCTTAAACAATTCCCTCAAAAGTTATCATTACCCACTTCCGTGGCCGGAAGAGGTTTTTGCGCAGCTTAATGGGGGTCAAATATTTTCCTAAATCGACCTAAGTGATGTGTATCTTCAGACTCCAGTAAACTGCGAATGTTCAAGATTACTGACCATAAATACATATTGTGGGATGTAGAAATTTAATCGTTTGCTTTTCGGCATAAAGGTCGATCCAGCGATTTTTCAGCAAGTAATGGACACAATGCTGAGTGGACTGGACTTTGCAGTTGCCTATCTTGACGATTTTTTGCTGAAAAGTGAAATCCCTGAAGAACACAAGAAAAATATTTTCGAAGTTTTCAGAAGAATTTAGGACTATGGATTCAAACTGAAGGACGAAAAGTGTGAATTCTTTATGGACAAAATTAAATATTTAGGTCAGATAATTGACAAGAAGAGCAGGAGACCAGATCCATCAGGTGCCAGTGCCTCTAAAGGAAATGCCTGCTCCTGTAAATGTCAGTACCCTACAAAGTTTCCTGGGATTAGCAAGTTACTATAATGTATTTGTACCAAATATGCATTGCTTGCAAGCTCCGTTGAATGAGCTTTTGAAGAAAGACGCTAAATGGTCTTGGGTGGCGGAAGTCTTGTTCATGTCCCACTACGATCCCCAAAAAAGAAATAATCATAGCAAGTGATGCTAGTGCATACGGTATAGTAGTCTGCATTATGAATAAACTAGAATACGGCTCGATTAAACCGATTGCACACGCATCCAGGACGCTTCTTCCAGCTGAGAAAAATTACTCCGTGATTGAAAAGGAAAGTTCAAGGTTTAAATTCAGCCTAATGCCACATCTGGTAGTCTGGAGCAGTTGGTAGATACTGTCTGCGGTCTGCAGTTGGATATTCATTGTGGAATTCACTTGACTCACTTCTAGCAGTTGACTACTTCTTTTACGCGCCACTGGCGAATCTTATATGTGTTGTTCTTGTCCTAAGTATTATCGTTCATTACCAACCTTTGTGCGATTATTCTATTAGGTAACCGTCCCTAGGTTATAACATACGCGCACATTAACATTAAACTTACGTTTTAATCCAATGAAGGTCTCAATTCATATCCAGTAAATAATTATAAACCTTGAAATTTTTCTCATTTACCTTTTTATATTAACTGTGATGAAAAAAGGAGCTAAGCCAACATATTTCCACGATCCGCACATTAAAGGTCCAAGAGCCGCATATTAAAGGTCAAAGAGCCGTATGTAGCTCACGAGCCATGGTTTGGCCACTTCAGATATAGAGGAAAATTTTAATTTAATAAAGGATGAAACAATCTTAAATCGCTTACCTGAATGGTTATTACGCTACCTTTGGTAGCTTTAATTTTCCATGTAAGCTGAAGATTGGGCACTAAAATTGGATTTTGAGGAGACAAAAGATTCTGCGGTACGCTAGTGGCCTCTAACGTTTTCGACAGTAGAGAAACTGCAAAAGTAATAGAAATAATTGCATAAAATCAGACAATTATAATTTTTTTTCATGCTAAATTTAGACTATTGTCCTCATCTTTGTCATATTCATGAAGTTTTGGCAGTTGTACGCTCCGGCCTTCTTCAGGTGATATATGTTGTAATTTCAAACTAAAACCTTTATTTCGTCCATTGAACTAGATTGTTCTACTTCCACATGCCATGCCTATGCTGGATATTTCAGTTTCAGTTATCTCCCTTTAGTAAATTAACTCTCTAAGTTTTTGTTCACCTCTGCTGTGGCCAGGGATTGAACTCACAGCTCTTTAGGTCAAGTCACGTATATCACCTGAAGAAGGCCAGAATGTACAATGGCCGAAACGTTGTGAATATGACAATAAAAAAAATAAGGGCCATGTAAATAATGTAGTTACAATACCTCAACTCAGGAATATTGACAGATGTAGTCGTAATAAATAGGATCAAAACAGAATAAGGTTATCCTGGCTCTCCACAATTACCTGTGAAGAGCTATGATTGTCAAAATCCTGAATGGACATGGTACATGATGTAATGAATATGCATACACCTGGGTTCCCTTTCACAGTAATATGATTGGCTGGTGTCAGCCATAAATACAGACTGATGAGGACGCCTATTGACGACGCCTATTGTCTTCGCCTATTGCCTACCACTACGACGAGGACCAGTCCATTACGGTTACCTGCTTCATTGTCCTACTCGATTACAGTAGTCCAAAACCACTTTGCTACTTCGAACAAATATATCCCTTTCCGGGATATATAAGTACATAAAAGAAGTGTGCTTGCATAAATGGTACACAGAACAGGGTATAGCAGAGATAGAAAAAAGACAAAATTTATTAAGAGCTACAAAGAATAGGAAATTGTGGAGAACTATGACTTCCAACGTCCTGAAGGTAGAAAGCACATAGATTAGATTAAGAGATTACATATGTCCAATTTATTATCTCATTTCTGAGATGTATTAATTCTCAACATTATTTCAAACTATAGTTTTCATTTTTGCTGATTTCGATTTTATTACCAACATTTTTGACTAAGTACCATTAGACCATCATCAGGTATCTCTTGTTTGCCTGATATGGGATATCTTCATTTTTATGTCCTTTTTTCGTACACCGAAAACTGTTTCTTTCTGTTAGGACAATCCTTATACCAATGTATATTCTTCTATGTGACATGTCCCTTCAGAACATATGTGATCATGGCTCTTCACAACTTCCTGGCGTTTGTTGCTCTTAATAAATTTTCTCTTTTTGTTATTTCTTCCAAACTTTGTTCCTGCGTCCATTTACTCAAGATCACCAAGTATGTTATGTACTGTTTTCCTTTGTCCATCTTTCCCTCAATATGTCTTGTGAGTATCACGTTTTCCACGCACTCCTTCCTCATTATATACGCCCAGAAATTTCAACTGCCTCTTATTGATGTTAAGTATCAGTTTCCTTTTTGTTTCCATTTTCTACAAAAGCTCATTGTTGCTCACATATTCAGTCTATGGTATTTTTCCACAAAGTCAAGCACTTTTTTCCACATCGCCAGAACTTCTTTAATGTCACTCGTGGGGGCAAAATCCAACACACTTTCCTTCTTATCTAAGAGCTACAAGGAACAGGAAGATATGGAGAGCCATGCTCACCTACGTCCTGAAGAGACAGCACATAAAAGGAGAATAAATTGAAACCAACATATCCACAGTGCTATAGAGCCTTAGCACTGCCAACTTTCTACTAAAACTTCTAACTCAGCAGAAGACTATGTCTTCTTTTTATTTATTTTATTGTGTCGTGATTGCATCCATAAAACATATGTAATAATACGTATTTAAAATAATCAAATCATGGTTAATTTTCTCAACAATATATTTTTTTTAATCACAACAGGAAAAAAAAACAGGATAACTTACTCATCGTCCAGGTGAATGAAAATATCTGTGAAGTGATGATACGGTCAGTGTAAAATCTCAAAAAGAAAAAGTTGTTGTAACTAAAGTATTCGGTCATGTGGGAACCACTGAGTCGAGCAATTAAAGAACTTTCAGAGGGAGTACTTCCACCGCTCCAGATTTCTATATAGTCATGCATCATTTTCAGATTCATTGCTGAAAGCTGTACAAGAATTAGAAATAATAAATTATGTCTATCACAAAATTGTCTGTGATACAAAGGATAACTTATGGCTATAAAAGCTTTAAAAGTGTTTATATATATATATATATATATATATATATATATATATTATCCCTCACTGAGTTTCATGTATATATATATATATATTTAATCATTTTACACCAAGCAAAGTAGGAATGCCACAAGTATGCATGAACGGGATTCATTTTCTGTCCTTTCCTCAATCCTCCCTATTTTCAGTCTTCTTTTTCACTTTCACTTCCTGTTCATCTTTTGTCCTTTCATTTAGTAGCACTCTACCTTGAATGGCTCTTAGTTGAACAATAGTAAAAAAAAAAAATAAGATAAAAAATTATTACAGCTCCTAATAATAATTCTTTTAGTTTCATTGTCTGCAGAAAGTGGTGGGTGTTCTAACAGTTTTTAAAATTTCTTCTTACTGCTGTTCACCAAATACAAGGCCCAAACGCTACTCAAGGTAGATCATTACTAAATGAGGTTGTGACATCATAATTTGCCAGTCAATGATTAAGAATGTTATTGAAAGTTTCCAAAAGAGAGCATTTTAAATATGAGATTAAGTAAAAAAAATCTTTGTGCCACTTACCTTAAGTTTGATTCTTGATCCTATGGGAGCTTCTAAAGTTAAGAAACAGTTTGTATTGTTGTTTACTGTTTGGGGAGTGGCAACAAAACTGCCATTTGTTCCTTTCTGGTAATAGTTACATTGTTGAGCTGCCATAATAAAATGAAATGAGAAGTAAAACATAAGTCCAGTTTTTAAGTTGAAATATTGATGCAAAAAAAGTGGGAGACAGTTTATTGAAGTCTGGGTAAAAGCAAAACCGTGGGAAAGATTTTGACATTATTAATAGATTAATAGAATATACATGACTGCAGTATTAGCCCTCCTATATGGCAGTGAATACTGAACAATCTCATCACAGATGAAGAAGAGATTTGAAGCAAAAGAAACAAAGAAAAGAGTACTGAACTGTTACATAATAATCCCCTATATAGCCATGAATGCTGGACAATGTCCTCACAAAAGAAGAAGAGACTTGAAGCAACAATAAATGTAAATTGTTTTGCCTATCGTCTGGTTCACACTCCTTCCTATTTTTTGAACAGGAGTAGAGGTTTATTCCTCATTTTCTATTTAAGACTTAAGGTTACTAGTTCTAATGTTTTTTCATTCTTTTTCACTCCTAAAAGCCCCTTGCATCTAAGTGACATTATTGTGTTGTATGGGGTGAAATGATTTTTAAAGAAACAGAAATGTGGTTAAACAAAATAATGCTGAGAAGAGCTACAAAGGACAGGGAATTGTGGAGAGCCATGATTATCAACACCCTGAAGAGAAATGGTACATAGAAGAAGAATGAGATTGTGTAAATAGTTGACAGAACAGGGTTTAGGAGAGATAGAAAAAATATAATATTTACTAAGAGATGCAATGGACAGGAAATTGTGGAGAGCCATGATTGTTAACACCCTGAAGGGAAATGGTACATAGAAGAAGAAGAATGAAATTATGTAAATTGCTGGTAAAATATGTTTTCCCAAAAATGTATTGCTGGGATTTTTTTTTCAAATGTATTGTTGGTAATCATTTTTTTGTTTCAAAAATTTATTGCTGGTAGTAATTTTTTTTAACAAAAATATATTGCTGGTATTTTTACTATAAGAACCTATTTTTACACTTTCATGCTGTTTTGACCCCAGTTTGGGAGTTAACTATTTGCCCATAGCTGGGACCCTAACAGGTGCTACAACCCTGCTGAAAAACTTGAGTCATGTCCTTAAACAGGTTTTTTCAAATCAACATTTTCATGTGGATATTTTGCTTGGCACCAAACTCATTTAGAAATATTTAAACTATCAGCTGTATGCAACTGCTTTCACAGATCAATGGTTAAAATGACATTGAGTGAATGAAGTGCTGGGGAACAGCTGTCCGTGACAGTATCTCCATCATTGCACTAAAGAGGGAAGATCAGTAGTAATACCGATACTAGCACAACTGATAATTTGGAGGGCTAGGCTATTTTTTTAACCTGGCCCAGGTGAGTGGGCTTGGGCTCCCAGCATTAAACTCACAATGTGCCACATCTTGCTAGTATAAAGTAGCAAGTAAATACAATCAGCTCTTGGGCGGGTAAACTACATTTTATCTCTGAAAGTTTAATAGTGATAGAGTAATAATAGAATTGTGACATTGTGTCTGTGAAAAGTGGTTGTAGAATGGAAAATAAATCACCCCCAAAAGATTGGTAAATAGTTTTGAACTCTATAAATGCTGGAAAGTGATGGTTGACCAGCTCCAGCCCATATATAGCAGTAGTACTCCATTTTTAGCCTGATCGGATTCTTATAAAGATACAACATGGCAGGTTACAGGATAATTCAGAATGTGGCAGAGCGGATAACAAGTTATTATGCATAAAACCACATGAATGATTTTGAACTCTCTCAAGATTGGATAATGTAGATTAAGCTTCTTCAAGCACAGATATAACAGCAGTACTCCATTTTTAGCCCGATCTGATTCATGTAAAGATACAACATGGCAGGTTACAGGATATTTAACAGAGATTTATTGGAGAAATTTGCCACTGGAAAAATTTTAATCTCAAATTGTAATGTACATTTTTGTTAATGCCTCAAGATGGTCACAAAACACATTGATTAAAACGTTGTGATCAGATAAAAATAAATGAGGGCCTTAGACAATTTAATTCATTGCATTTATTGATAATTTAAAGCAAATAATATTTGCAATGAAGGACATAAAATCAAAGTTACTTACGGCAATTACTTTCATCCGATGCATCACCACAGTCATTTTCTTTGTCACACTTCCAGTTGGAAGAGAGACATTTGCCATTGGTACACTGGAAGGAGCCTAAATAAGAAAAAGTAACAACAATAATAGTATAATTACATATCTGAATTATAGTAACAGTTCCAATTATAATTTTTCACTAGTATTTCTTTCATCTTATTTCTCTTGCTTTTCCACCAAGTAGTAATAGTCTTAAATTGTCTGAATTTCTTAGATGAAGCCTTGACAATTATTATTCATTTTTCACTAGTATTTCTTTCGTCTTATTTCTCTTGCTTTTCCACCAAGTAGTAATAGTCTTAAGTTGTCTGAATTTCTTAGATGAAGCCTTGTCAATTATTATTCATTTTTCACTAGTATTTCTTTCATCTTATTTCTCTTGCTTTTCCACCAAGTAGTAATAGTCTTAAGTTGTCTGAATTTCTTAGATGAAGCCTTGTCTATTATTATTCATTTTTCACTAGTATTTCTTTCATCTTATTTCTCTTGCTTTTCCACCAAGTAGTAATAGTCTTAAGTTGTCTGAATTTCTTAGATGAAGCCTTGTCAATTATTATTCATTTTTCACTAGTATTTCTTTCATCTTATTTCTCTTGCTTTTCCACCAAGTAGTAATAGTCTTAAGTTGTCTGAATTTCTTAGATGAAGCCTTGTCAATTATTATTCATTTTTCACTAGTATTTCTTTCATCTTATTTCTCTTGCTTTTCAACCAAGTAGTAATAGTCCTAAGTTGTCTGAATTTCTTAGATGAAGCCTTGTCAATTATTATTCATTTTTCACTAGTATTTCTTTCATCTTATTTCTCTTGCTTTTCCACCGAGTAGTAATAGTCTTAAGTTGTCTGAATTTCTTAGATGAAGCCATGTCAATTATTATTCATTTTTCACTAGTATTTCTTTCATTTTATTTCTCTTGCTTTTCCACCAAGTAGTAATAGTCTTAAGTTGTCTGAATTTCTTAGATGAAGCCTTGTCAATTATTATTCATTTTTCACTAGTATTTCTTTCATCTTATTTCTCTTGCTTTTCCACCAAGTAGTAATAGTCCTAAGTTGTCTGAATTTCTTAGATGAAGCCTTGTCAATTATTATTCATTTTTCACTAGTATTTCTTTCATCTTATTTCTCTTGCTTTTCCACCAAGTAGTAATAGTCTTAAGTTGTCTGAATTTCTTAGATGAAGCCTTGTCAATTATTATTCATTTTTCACTAGTATTTCTTTCATCTTATTTCTCTTGCTTTTCCACCAAGTAGTAATAGTCCTAAGTTGTCTGAATTTCTTAGATGAAGCCTTGTCAAGGTTTTTTCACTAGTATTTCTTTCATCTTATTTCTCTTGCTTTTCCACCAAGTAGTAATAGTCCTAAGTTGTCTGAATTTCTTAGATGAAGCCTTGTCAATTATTATTCATTTTTCACTAGTATTTCTTTTCATCTTATTTCTCTTGCTTTTCCACCAAGTAGTAATAGTCTTAAGTTGTCTGAATTTCTTAGATGAAGCCTTGTCAATTATTATTCATTTTTCACTAGTATTTCTTTCATCTTATTTCTCTTGCTTTTCCACCAAGTAGTAATAGTCCTAAGTTGTCTGAATTTCTTAGATGAAGCCTTGTCAATTATTATTCATTTTTCACTAGTATTTCTTTCATCTTATTTTCTTGCTTTTCCACCAAGTAGTAATAGTCCTAAGTTGTCTGAATTTCTTAGATGAAGCCTTGTCAATTATTATTCATTTTTCACTAGTATTTCTTTCATCTTATTTCTCTTGCTTTTCCACCAAGTAGTAATAGTCTTAAGTTGTCTGAATTTCTTAGATGAAGCCTTGTCAATTATTATTCATTTTTCACTAGTATTTCTTTCATCTTATTTCTCTTGCTTTTCAAACCAAGTAGTAATAGTCCTAAGTTGTCTGAATTTCTTAGATGAAGCCTTGTCAATTATTATTCATTTTTCACTAGTATTTCTTTCATCTTATTTCTCTTGCTTTTCCACCAAGTAGTAATAGTCTTAAGTTGTCTGAATTTCTTAGATGAAGCCTTGTCTATTATTATTCATTTTTCACTAGTATTTCTTTCATCTTATTTCTCTTGCTTTTCCACCAAGTAGTAATAGTCTTAAGTTGTCTGAATTTCTTAGATGAAGCCTTGTCAATTATTATTTATTTTTCACTAGTATTTCTTTCATCTTATTTCTCTTGCTTTTCCACCAAGTAGTAATAGTCTTAAGTTGTCTGAATTTCTTAGATGAAGCCTTGTCAATTATTATTCATTTTTCACTAGTATTTCTTTCATCTTATTTCTCTTGCTTTTCAACCAAGTAGTAATAGTCCTAAGTTGTCTGAATTTCTTAGATGAAGCCTTGTCAATTATTATTCATTTTTCACTAGTATTTCTTTCATCTTATTTCTCTTGCTTTTCCACCAAGTAGTAATAGTCTTAAGTTGTCTGAATTTCTTAGATGAAGCCATGTCAATTATTATTCATTTTTCACTAGTATTTCTTTCATTTTATTTCTCTTGCTTTTCCACCAAGTAGTAATAGTCTTAAGTTGTCTGAATTTCTTAGATGAAGCCTTGTCAATTATTATTCATTTTTCACTAGTATTTCTTTTATATTATTTTTCTTGGTTTTAGATGCATGATATATATATATATAATATTTCTAGTGGTAATAAATATATCATATTACTAACAGTATACCTAATATAAATCATATTACTAGCAGTGATAAATATATTACTAGTGGTAATAAATATATCATATTATCGGAGTTAGCGTTTCCTAATTGTGACTAGGGCACGCTCTCGCTACACTATAAATACTGTGCGACTTCTTGCCTCGTTCTCTTTTTCATTTCTTCATTTCAGCGAACACATCTACAATGTAAGCTCTCGCAGAAGATAGCGTCTTCCCATTTGTGGAAGACAACATGAACATTATACACACATACACGTACGTACAAACATTCACCAAAATACAAACTCTTTACGTTCACACACAAACACAAATGTTGATGTCTTTGTTACTTGTAAATTTGTTGTTTAATACATATATTTGTTGACATATATATATCAGTCTTGTTTGTTTTCTTTACATCTTCGGTTGGACTCAACTTGAGTCAGCCATGTTCTTGTAGTTGGACCTTCTTCTAGTAGGAAATAAACAGCACGTGTTCCTAATTTAACAACACGCAAACCCAACGGTCCTCTACAATATTACTAGCAGTATACATAATATAAATCATATTACTAGTGCTAAGTAATATATCTTATTACTAGCGGTATACATAATATGATAATACTGGTAATAAATATATGATTTTACTAGCGATATACATAAGAGCATTAAGTTTTCTAAATTTCTGAGGTGAAGTATTATCATTATTTTTACATTTTTGCTCATTTTTCTTTTCGTACTATTTTTGTGCTTTCAAATAAAAAAAAAATCAGCTAGTTGTTAATTTTATAAATTTAATCAAATTTTTAAACAATACCTTTAATACATGCTTCCTTTTGACAGGCATATGAGTATGACTCTTCACATGGTTTGACTGCATATAATCCTCCTGCTTTCATAATCACACAATTTCCCGCTGACCAGTCAGGCTGAAAATTTTCCCAGTATCCATCGCAAGCACTGGATTTTACAGAATTGCCTAAAAAAATAAGACAAATTAATGAGACTTGTGGGATAAAATAAGCTTCTTTACTGATGGGTTTTGTTTGATGTCACTAGATGGTATGACAATCAGAACTAAAAAAAAATGATATAATAACAAAGTAGACTAGGCTTTCTAGCCTTGAGAAGCAGCTAGGAGAAGGACAACTCAATACAAAACTATGAAGTAGACAGTTTAAAACCATTCCATGATTTTTCACAAGAAGGCATTGCAAATCATGCATAATAAAGGAATCAGTACGGCGCCATGATGGCAGTTCGTCCTGGGTATGACGATAAAATACATCTGCCTCCTGAGTAAGATGATAAACTATGTGCAACAGCGAGGCCTCTGATCAGGAGGTTTTGAGGAACGTGGAACCACCTCTTAATTGCTGGTGTTCCCAGGTCCACTCTGATCTGGGTGGTAACACCTGTTAGGGTCCCAGCTATGGGCAAATAGTTAAACCCACAAACTAGGGTCAAAACACTATGAAAGTGTAAAAATAGGTCTTAATACCAGAAATACTTTGTAAAAAAAAAAATACATTTTAGGAAAAAAAAATTTACCATCAGTACCTTTTGAAAAAACATATTATCAGAATTAGATTTTTTTAAAGAAAATATTACTAGCAATACATGTTTGAATAAAAAGTATTGCCAGCACTAAAAATTATCGGAATTAAATAACTCATTGAAGTTGATATGCCGTAAAACAAATCAAACAAAACCTATGACAGTGGTTCTCAAATTTTTTTCTCTGGGTCACATTTTTGGAATGAAAATTTGCTTGTGCCTCACCAAATTTTATGTGATAAAAAGTACATTTAAAAATTTAAAAAAATGCCATGAAAGGACATGGTATGTCTTACTAATAGCTGAGGGGAGAAGAGGTAGATTCATACCTTTCTCAAGAGCATTTGCACATAAGTGAATATAACAAACCCAATTGTATTTGGAATGTGGCTCTCCGATTAACAATTCCAAGCCATTATCCATTACATCATCTGCACATAGCACCTGGTATTTCCAAGTGGTCATCCAACTTGGTACTGACCAGAATCAGCATTACTTTTCTTCAGTGATTGTAGGGAAACTGGTGTTTCAATGTGACGTGGCCATAAGCCCAGCCTATTTCAGGCAGTTAAAATGAAGAAACTGACTGGTACTTACCGATCCAAAATTCAGTTCCCTTCTGAATCTCATTGACTACAATTTCATTCAGGTAATCCAACTCACTGCCATCTTTTGGCTCTGCCAGTGTGCCTCCATACCTTCCAAAGAAAAATTACTTATTTTCAGTCTATTTAATCCAATGTGCAAATGGCATGACAGTTACTGTCATGAATAGTGGGATTTGTGTTTGTAAGAGGTATATTAGTATCATAATACTATATTAGTATCTGTTGAAACTTGACTAATGCATGGAATAATAATACAACACAAAATGTACTTAGAACAAAATGTATTGAAACAAGAAAGTGTACACAATATTTACATATAGTCTTTTGTATATTCTTGGGAAGACCGTTCCTGGAGAATGTGTTGACTTAGTCGCAGTCGGGCAGAGCCTCTGGATTGAATCTCTTGATTCCTCTCCTCGTCTTCCCGGTACCAACCATATTTATATGGTCGATACTCCACTATGCAAATTAGGTGGATCCTACCACAACAGTATCATAATACTATATTAGTATCATAATACTATATTAGCATCAGAAACAAGTGTGATGAGACAAAGTGGAAAATTTATTATTGATGCATTTCACCGAGAATTTATGCTTTCTTTGGCTTCCTCGAGTTAGAATGAGAAAAAGAACACAACTGTATGTGAGGGAAAATGCCTGACCCTAAATATATATTTAATTACATGAAATTACAGGCTGGTGTTTTAGGGGGACTACTAATTGGATAATAATTATTCAAATTCCCATGAGAGTAGGTTGAATGGTTGAGCATAAAGTTAAAAATGAAACACGTTAAAAATTATACTTTAAAATTAAAGAATAAAATTAAGAACAGTTTCAAGGAGAATCAAACCCGTATTTAACGAGACAAGATTCAGTAACATTGAGCAAAATCAAAGTTCTTAATAATATCCACTTCACACAAGTAAGAAAACATGGTTAATGCGTTGTCCGAATCTGGATCTAGATCGTGTTAATCACCAACATTGAACCGTGTTTATGTTGACTGCCTATGAATACACTTATCTTTACAGAAACATACGTAGGAAGATTCTAAAGTAAATAAAAAAAGTACTGTATGTTTTTTAACAAGGTCTTCTACAATTAAGACGGTCATTGAAGTGGAGAAACACTTTTTATATATATAAATAAAAAATATATATATATATATATATATATATATATATATATATATATATCAATGTCAAATTTTGGAGGGAGAGTCGTCTATGTAAATAACAGTCCTCAAGTCAACAGAAACAGAGCCCAGCAGGGAGGGTCGCAGTTTTTCTTTAACAATAGTGTTGTGCATTTTATTGAATGAATTCTTATTCCAGCCTGATGCTGACATATGCTTGGATGTAAAGGGACAAAAATTTACCACGGCCACAGTTAGGAATTACGCAATTTTTTTCTGTGGTACACAACATACATAGAGGGGTCACACTAGATTTCACCATCAATCCCAATATTGAATCAATCCTATTGAGACGAAACACCGGACCCAATCGAGGTGGGAAAAGGAAGCTGTATGACCCATGAGGTCGATATTAATCAACAAAACTAATGGATCTAGTGACTAGCATCTAAGAGGAAGAAGAGAAGGGACGGAATTTGGAGCCGGGTGATTGTGGTGCGTTATCAATAGGTATTGTTAGACGTCTCAATGATATAGGGTTGTCAACGTCTGAGGGCTACAGGAGGCCGGATAGTATATCGGTTGAAAAATTATGATAAAGAAAAATAGACCTGGGGGAACGAATTAGAACGATGTATAATAGTAACAACCCCTCATTCCGGATATTTAGATAGAAAAAAATGGCCGGAGAGTACATCGGTTGAAAAATTATAATAAATATATTTACAGAGTATGAAGGCCGTGCTCAAAATATTGTAATAAAAAGAAAGAAATAAGGAAATTAAAAATCATTGTATAATAGAAACATTGGTATTATTGAATACAAATCTCTCTTTTTAACTTACTCTGAGCAAACAGTGGCAGCATTATTTCGGTTCTCAGGTGTATTTACGAAAAGGTAACAGTTGCCAAATTTTTCTTTCCATCCTGAAAATAATATAAATAAATTAATTTAGTTGGTACAGTATTGTTATAATGTAGTATGTGATTTACACTCGAAAAGAGCAGAGGTATGAATGTAATTTAATGTCTTAGAATAGTTGATCTGTGGTGACCTCAATATGTAATGGGCTTCACTCTAGGAGATAACAAAGTAAGCTCTGCAGTCACTGTCACACTAGAGCATCAAAACAGTCAGGTGGATCAGAAGGTAACCTCATAACCACCAGGTGCAGAATAGGGCCTCAAAGGATGTTGATTGCTTCCCTCAACACGTAAACAGGAGATCAACATAGCTGAGCTTAGAATGTGCAGATGTAAGAACCTGGATGCAAATTTACTGTGGATTAAAGAAGTTTCCGTATTCTTTTATCTTAGAAAATTACTTTCTTTTAATTAAAGCAGCATTTTTAAATCGAAATTATAGTCAGACTCTTTAAGACGAGCAGATAATGCATTTTGTGTGTTGTATTGTAAAAGAACTCTTTTGCGTTCACATAATCTTTTATTTAAATTCATTGTGGTTTCTCTGATGTATTCCTTGTGGCAATTATTACAGGTGGTTGAGTAAATTCTTCCTTCACGTTTTATATATCATTTTATCTCATAAAGACTTATATAACTGTTATACCGCGAGCGACGAAGTGGACTCGCCTGCACATATAAATGTGAGAACGAAACGTGGGACTTCGGGAGATATCAAAAGCCATATTTAGCAGTCGTCTGAAAAAATACAATAGTAATCTGCAGCTGGACTTACTCTAAGAGTGACTGAATTCAACTAAGTAATAGTCACATTACAACAATAACAGATTTATAAATTTGCGTTATTTGATATTTTATGTTTCAGTTGGTGTGTTCTTTTGACTTCCTCAGCCAAAAAAAAATGCTTAGCAAAACTTTGTTGCTTGAATGTTGAAGATTGAAAGAAAAAAAGAAAGAAAACAACAGATGGAGTAATATGCATATCCAGCGACGAGGTAGATAAACCATCAAAAACGTTTACAACAAAATGACAAAGAATGAAATCAAAAACATGACATGTTGAAATTTTATGAAATATTTATTCGATAAAATCAAAAGAAAATAATAAAAGGCTTTCGTAAAAGACACGCTTATCGTTAGTCACAGGGTCCCGGTTCAAAAATCTACGTTTCGGTACAAAGTACTACTTACTGACCGGTGTTACAGAATGTGAAGGCCAGAGCTAGGATGGTCAGCGATTGGTTAGAATACCACGTCCATGAGGTATTCTGACAGTGATGCATTGCCTTTGTTTGGATTTTGGATATAAGAGCAAAAACGGCGCAAATTCAACAGACGGCCCCAGAAATTTTGAAGTGTCAATACGCTTTCCCCACCTAGGTTCGAGAGACAGGTTAGGACCACACGCCGAAGGACGCTAAGACAACAAGCGGCATGCGTTCCCTTAAGTTCTTCCTCCCGCTGTCCCTAGAATCCAAGCTGCCATGTCTGTCCCTCTCTATTAAAAAAAGTAGTAAGAGAAAACAAAAAACGTCTTTTCGTTAATACCATCTATGCAGTAGCGTTGGAGACCAGTGACGGTACGGAATACAACACTGTCTGTAGAGGAAGCCTTCTGTTAAGTATGTGACACTACGCCAGTGGTTCTCCTTTTTTTTTTCTCTTGGCCGCATTCGGTCACTAATCCGGATCGATACCCTATTCTTTATGTTCATGATATCACGGCCACTGTCCATAGTAAACATTTTGTTTCAGCAGAAACATGTTAATCATGAAAAGTTTTCAAAGACAGCTATATTAGAACCGTCTTATTTTGCCTTCAGAACGTTGTACAATATTTTCAGCGTTTCATCGACTACGAATTGTTTGAAGTACAAATAAATGTTGGACTTCCTTGACAGCATCTTAAAACATCCTCCAGTCGATGTTTTAGGGTAAGGCATGTAACGCATTTTATACTTAATTGATATATTTTCGTTTTTAGAAAATAAAACTTCAGTTTTAAAATGTTGATATCATTATAAGCATAACTTCCGTTTATAAAATGATATCTTTACAAAAGTTCTTTCAGTTTTAAACAATTTCACATCGTGGTAAAAATTCTTACCTTGAGGACACTCAAACGTCAACGCTCCAATTTCCCCCGTGTTCAAACTGGCAACACTGATTATCTGAAAAGAGTAATGAAACCTATTCATTCAAGATGATGTAGAAAAAAAGATCATTACTCAAGAGGTGTTTCCACACTTGTTTGAAATATCTTCTGGTCTGGCATATTTTCTTGTGCGGATTTATGAGATGAACCGAGGCACTTTAAGAGATGTCAGGGTTGATATCTAAATGGGAAATGCTATAAAAATGCGTTGTGCATGTTATTTTTGTGTAAACGTATATCTAGATCGGAATAAGTATGTATATATATGCATACGGATAAATATGAACAAAAATAGGCAGATATGAAAAAATGAAGATGAACGGAAGGTGAAAGGTGTTGCAAAATTAAAGATAAATAAGAAGATGGATATGAAGAAAGAGTAATCAATATATTCATATGGATAGATAGACAGACAAAGTGACTTGGAGAGATAAAGAGACCGAGATAGATAAACAAATAGTTTTAGATAGATCGATAGATAAAGAGCCTGAGATAGCTAGATAGCCTAAGAGTATGAAACAGATAAATAGACAGACAAATTGTCTGAGATAGACAAAGACATTGAGACAGATTACTTTTGTTAATAAACGACTTATCAACACTAGAACACTAACCATCAATTAAAGTTACACCACTACTAACCATGGGTATATCATACCCGATTTTGAAAATATAAAAAAAAAAAAAAATAAATATAAAACTTTATTTGAAATATTTTATATGCAGGCACTTCAAACTTTGTACTTTGAGTTAACATTAATAGGAACTGAAAAACATATTTAGGTAAGAAAATCAGGTACTTACTTGTAATTAAATTAAATTACCTGACATTTTGGATACTAAGGTCAAGCAAATCATTGAACATCCTCTTGACATTAAACTTGGGAACTTTACAGATACAGAACTTGAAACAGCTTTCAAAAATATAAAAAAATAATAAGAAAACAGTGGGATTTGATAATATTCAAGACCGGAAGATTCGGGATTTCAGTGATATTCTACTCCAACTCTTTAACGCCACATATAATGGAAGTCATAGAAAGAAGAAAAAGATGCTGTACACTTCCTTTCCCACAGAAAGGAGATCTAGGATCAGCAAAAAACTATAGAGGAATCACACTCATCTTCATTGCAATAAGGTTTTACGACTCCTTGCTTCTAATCAGAATACAACCGGAAGTAAAAAAAAAAAAAGATGCTTTGAAAAAATCAAAATGGCTTTCGAAAAAATAGATCAACCGTTGGACAATACTTGACTGTCCGACAGTTTATTGAAGAATCTATAGGCCGCCTTACTTTTGTAGATTTCTCTAAAGCTTTCGAGTCTGTACATATGGGAAAAATGAAACATAGCTTCTGGCATATGACCCCCACCCCCGTGGCAGTAACTGCCATAATGATGTGATACAAAAATACAAAATCTTTGGTTAGATCCCCAGACGGAGACACTAACTTCTTCGACATCACAGATGGGGTCCTTCAGGATGACATCCTTACACCTTTTGTTTTTGTTATCATCCTTGACAACCTATTGAGAAATTTTCTCGACAAACATCATCTTGATTGTAGTTTTTCACCAAGACTCTCAAGTTGATATCTTGCAAAAAAAAAATGACACCTATTGACTATGTAGATGACCTAGCTACCACTGTCGACATCATTACCAATGCCACAGTTCTCCTACATCATCTAGAAAATGCTGCAAATAATTTTGGGCTCTATATCATTGCCGCTAAAATTGAATTCATAGGCTTCAACTAGCAAGCTTCAATGCAAACTGTCTCAGGTGAATCTATAAAATCTGTCAGATCTTTACATACCTGGGAAGCGAGATAAATTCTTCTGAAAAGGGTGTGAATATTCGTATAACTAAAGCTTGGGACGCCTTGAATAAAAATCGGTATAATCTGGAACTCTAATCTGCCAGACAACCACAAGTAGAGATCCTTTTGAGTCACTGTAGAAGCTGTGTTAATGTACCCTACCACTGCTTGGACATTAACTAAAACCCTAGTGTCTAAGCTTGATGAAACCTACACTCGGACGCTGAAAGCTGTACTAAACATCTCTTGGAAAGAACATCCAACTAAATCACAGCTCAACGGATCCATCCCTGATATTTCTACAATCTTACGTGAACGCAGAATGCACTTTGCAGGACAATGCTGGCAAGTAAAACAAGAACTCGAGAGTGATCTACTGCTCTGGACACCTTGACATGGAGTAAGACGAGTTGATCGCCCAGTAACAAGCTACAATGAATCGCTATGTCATGACGCAGAATGCCTCCTTAATGACCTTCCGACCTTGATGCAGGGCCGCCATGGTTGGCGTGACAGACTTACACATGTCCGAGCGAATAAAATAAGCGAATGCAGTCAATTTGTTATACGCCCAGCCAACATGGAAGAGAGAAAAGTGAATATAGTATATAGTAGACATCCGTTTATCTCACAAAATAATGATATCGTCCTGTCTGGTCGAAATCCAGTCCGGTTGTTAATAACGCCTAGAGTGGCTTAGCAGTTCGATCTTTGCAAGGCAGACTCTTCTGTATGTGTGGCAGAGGAAACTTGAATGTATAATGAAAGTCTGAGATTGCTTCCTGCATTATTTTCTGGCTTCAAGCTGCTGGACTCACTTTTCTTTACATGTGAATAGACTAGCATAAATATATAAAAAATTAAAATTTTAAGACACACTGGGTTGTATATTAATATTTTGGGGATTTATAATATCGATTAGGTTCCTCAACTAGTTTCGGACAGCATGACCATCATCAGGAGAAAATCAAATCCCTGCTTGTTAGTTGCAGTGAACTACAGGAGTGAATGACTGTCTATAAAGTAAGTGAACTTTATCTATAGTTTTCATTTTTTTATCGTTAATTTTGGTCAGTTCTTGTATTGGTGAAACGGCCTCATTCAAGTTGTTTTTAAAATAGAGGATGAGAGATTCCTGAGGTTCAGAATTCCCTCCTTGGTCATTTTGACAATTTTATTTGTTGCTGGAAAGGGGATGTGTGTGTGTTAAGTGTATGTTATCTTTTAGCTTTTTGGTAGTGTGTGTAATGTGTATATATATATATATATGACGTCACAAATTACGAAAGGGACAATGTCCGACAATTATTTTAAGACATTTTTATGTTTATACGTTCTTTTTATAGATACAAATATTTAAGTAAATGCTTTGTTTATATATATATATATATATATATATATATATATATATATATATATATATATATATATAAGAAATGGACAAAGTCCGACAATTTATTTATTAAAGACATTTTTATGTTTAACGTTGTTTTTTATAGATACAAGTATTTAAGTAAATGCTCTGTTTATGATAAACAGTATTAAATAACATTTACCGGCCTGAATGTCCGAGAAATTTTCATAGAAAATATTCGTCCTTTGACAGGATTCGAATCTGCATCCTATACGGAACCGTCATTTATAAGCAGTAAAATTCGACCGTGTCTACCGAACGATTCTTTGTAGCCGAACGGATAAGGCACGTCAGCGTAAATGACGGTCCCGTATAGGATGCAGGTTCGAATCCTGTCAAAGATTGAATATTTTCCATGAAAATTTCTCGGACATTCAGGCCGGTAAATGTTATTTAATACTGTTTATCATAAACAGAGCATTTACTTAAATACTTGTATCTATAAAAAAACAACGTTAAACATAAAAATGATCTTGCTATTTCCTACATATATCTGATAAATTTTATATCTATGATTGATTGATTGATTGATTGATTGATTTATTTATTTATTTATTTATTTATATATATTATATATATATATATATATATATATATATATATATATATATATATATATATATATATATATAGAGAGAGAGAGCTCGTATACAATCTCTTCGTGGTGAGGGATTCAATTTAGATGTGTCGAACTCTTGCATATCAGTTATGTAATAAATATATTTTACACTCTAAAATACTTGTATTTAAAATGTGACCAATCATTATAGGACACCTATATAGATATATATACACAGTGTAACCCGGATATAAGAGAGGTGTCGGGACCGGAGAAGAAGTCTCTTATATCCGGGTTTGGTCTATTTTATATACATTAACACAGGCTCTAATTTGGGACCAGAGAAAATCTCTCTTATATCCGGGTTTCTCTTATATCCGGGTTTCTCTTATATTCGGGTCTCTTATATCCGGGTTACACTATATATATATAGCGTGTGTGTGTGTGTGTGTGCGTGCATGCGAGTGAAACATGGGGGAGAGAGAGTCCGCTGAACTGTTTTACCGAAGCAGACCATGTCAAGTGAAAGTGTTAAAGTTCTTGTTCTCTTTTTCAAATGAAATCTGGTCGTCCTGACCAACTTATTTGGTAATTTTAAACCGACGACAAATATAAGACCCTTAAACCGTTGATTCTTTAAGTCTATTAACTATTAACATTCCATATTCGTTATTCACCTTAGTAGCGGATTTGACATTTTCAAGCATTGTATGGAATAAGAAATAAAGCTTATTCATTCATTCCTTCCTTCCTTCCTTCCTTCCTTCCTTCCTTCGATACTACGCGTGATGCACGCTTGGGCGATCATGACTCTGTACAATTCGTGATTAACATGGCAGAAGAGTTCTCGCAGTAGGATTCTGTGACGTTTTGCTTGTTATCCATCGCATCCTGCACATTCAAGCTTACACCACTTAGTATTCCCAAGAGGTCCTCCATCTAGGTACTGACCTAGCTCGAAATTGCTTAACTTCGTTTATCAAACAAAAATCGGTGTTTGAGTGTGATTTGTCCGTAAGATTCGTTCTCGCTCTCTCTTTCTTTTTTTTCTCTCTCTCTTATATATATATATATATATATATATATATATATATACACACACTTTTTTGCCACAAATGCAAAAAAAGAAAAAAAAAAGAAAAAGGTAATTATATCAGAGAAACAGGCACGGAATTCCGTTCAAAAAACCATAAAAAGTCATCAAATACAACAACAACAGCAACAATATACCTGTCGCTGCTGCGTCA